GAGGAAGGTGTAGAGCCCCGACTGGGGGTTGGGAGACAGCAGGGTGAGGGAGAGCTGGGCTCCAACAATACAGGAAAGAGGGAGTTGATGAGGGGAAGGGAGTGAGGTTGATTAAAATTTAGGTAGAGAGCGCTACTATCGGAGGTGACCAGTATTCGCACTTCCCTTTCGAGCGTTCATGAGGCCTGCAGGAGGGTGTAGTTGGTTTAGATTTTACTCGGACTCACCTAGACACAAGTGGAGAAAGAGGCAGGGAGCAAGTCCTAGTGGGAAATACAGTAAGTCACAGGCTCCTGGGGGTGCTCTGTTAGCTTCCACGTGAACCTCAGCATCTGGCACCGCCAGGGCGAGCCCAAGGCCACCTGGTAGATTTTGCTTGGGATGGAACTGGCTCCTACCCATTTCCTCTCAGCCCATTTTTTTTTTTCTTTCTTTGCCCTTTTCTGCTTAGAAAATCCGCTCCAAAGTAGAGCTGGAAGTGCGTGACCTTCCTGAGGAGTTGTCTCTGTCCTTCAATGCTACTTGTCTCAACAACGAGGTCATCCCAGGCCTCAAGTCTTGTGTTGGACTCAAGATTGGAGACACGGTGAGGTGGGCTGGGCAGGGGTTGAAGCTGAGACTCTGACCCTGGTCTGTGCCCTGGAGTGTCTGAGGGTTCCTACCCCTTCCTTCCCTTACAGATGACCTTCTTCCCTAAGGTCATCACAGCTTAGATGGAATGGAGCTGCCGACCTTTTCCTCTGAGGCTTCTGTTGCCTAAATCTTCTCTATTAAGCAAACTTCTCTGTCAGGATTTTAAAAAACTTACATTTAGGTTACCTCTGTTTGTTTATGCGCAGTTGATTACAAACGAAAATATTTCTCACCTTCAGTCCCTAATCAGCTTCTGACCTCCCCCATGGTAGTGCCTTTCTTTCCTCCACAAGGTAAAGCGGCAGGTGTCTTCTATTAACATTTATTGAGCACTGACTTTGTGTCAGGCTTTGTTCTAGGTGCCAAAGATTCAATAGCAAATGGAACAGGCAAAAATACCTGCCCTGATGTAATTTCAGAATGTAAATGTTCATTTTGCCCCTCCCGTCTCTCTATGGCTTCCCTTTCTTAAAGGTTGGTTCTCCTCTGCTTCTGCCTAAGGGGAGAAGGGTTGGTGAAGTGGAAAGAGGAAAAGAGGGGGATTTCTATATCCATATCATCCAGGTCTATATCTATATTAGCCATATTATCTATATTTATCTCCAGATATCCATCCATCCTTCTATATATTCTAGGCACATGGGCACATATCCCATGTAAGAAACACTGGCCTGCACACGTGATGAAATGTTATGTGGAAATCGAACAGTAGATCCTGAGCCTGTGGTTGGCCACTGTGTGGCATTGTGTGGTGCAAAGGAGTGCCCTGTGTGTCCTGTGATATTACGTAATCGGTACAGCTAGCTTAGCTGGTCTGAGCACAGTGTTCACAAGATCACGGATTCTGTTCTGCTTGAATTGGTTTATTTCACATATGGAATAAAAAAACCCAGCCTTCTATATCATAACCGTAAACACATGGTCTCAGTACCCAGCCGGATATGTCACAACTGCATAACTATTCCAGGGCTCTTGCTTTTGCTTTGCAGACCTTGGTGGTGGGAAGGCTGAGGATTATATAGGAGTATATAATTGATAGCTTACATATAGATATAGTGATAGATACTCGGGGATGAGACTCACAATGAGCAGGGCAGAGAACTGCTCATTTCCCTTCGGGGCTGGAGTGTTAAGAGGGTCCACCTGTGTCTGAATGCGATCTTTCCATCCAGGTGAGCTTCAGCATCGAGGCCAAGGTGCGTGGCTGCCCCCAGGAGAAGGAAAAGTCCTTCGCCATCAAGCCTGTGGGCTTTAAAGACAGTCTCACTGTGCAGGTCACCTTCGACTGTGACTGTGCCTGCCAGGCCCATGCCGAGCCTTACAGCCGCCACTGCAACAACGGCAATGGGACCTTTGAGTGTGGGGTGTGCCGCTGTGGGCCTGGCTGGCTGGGATCCCAGTGTGAGTGCTCAGAAGAGGACTACCGCCCCTCGCAGCAGGATGAGTGCAGCCCCCAAGAGGGCCAGCCAGTCTGCAGCCAGCGGGGCGAGTGCCTCTGTGGCCAGTGCGTCTGCCACAGCAGTGACTTTGGCAAGATCACGGGCAAGTACTGTGAGTGTGATGACTTCTCCTGTGTCCGCTACAAGGGGGAGATGTGCTCGGGTGAGTAGAACTGCACACATGTCCCTTCCTGGTACCCACACATACTCACACATCTGCAGCATCTGGAAATGTAGGCCAGAGCTTGAGGCGGACACAGGAAGGCCCACAGGGCAGAGCTGAGCAGATGGTGTTCCACTCCAGTGGCAGAAAACAGAAATGAGGTCCTCTGTAATTCCCCTCAGCTCCCTAGGTCCTCGCCCATGGGGGGACAGGGACACGGGAGCTTCTCTCCTGGAATAGCGTGGAGAGGAGCGGGGAAATTTGATGGTGAAGACAGTTTTCGTCTTTTCTTTCATCTGCTCTCCCCTTAGTATTTAAGTCACTGGATCCAAATCTTTTTGAGGATATGAGCCAGTCTCTTCTTAAGGTAAAAAAAGTAAATCATTGGCTGATGGTAATTGAAGTTTTGGTATTTATAGATTTGGAAAATGGGTGACATAGAATATATAGCAAAGTTAGTAATAATTGTTTTATGTGAAGACTTGGAAATTAGTAATACAAGACATTGGAGCACATTTAATGAGCCAGCACACTTGGAAGAATGACTGAAAAATAGTAAGCTCTTATTAAATGTTGGCATTATTTTGTTATCACTATTGGTACTACTATTACTTTTTTGGGTTCTAGGTCTGTTTTTGTCCTATATGGTAGCCACTAGCCACATGTTAGCTATTTAGATTAATCAATTTAAATTAATTAATTAATTAATTAAATTTAAGTAAATTTTAATGTAAATTAAATTTATAACTAAAAATTCAGTTCCTCTGTTGCTTAGGAGTCACATATGGCTAGTGTTGCTATGTTGCGCAGCACAGATATGTATTGAATAGCATTGCCATAGAGAGTCCCAGCCCACTGATTGAGATTATGATTTTGAGTCTTTTTACCTGCATATTAGATTGTTGTCCTTCTCATTACAAAATTCAGTAAAATCTTGAGGCCTGCTGATAATCTCAAACTGGTTTTCCTTTGTCCCAAAGACCACTCCAGGGGTACTTCCCCAGCTAGAAGAAGTCAAGCGGATATTAAGGTAGTTTTTAATTGCTGACACACCGAGGCAAATAGGCAGCTTGGGCACTGGGGGTAGATTTTTGCTGGGCTAGAATTATTGTGGCTTAATTGCTCTTGTTATGACATTTGCAAATTGATTGGGACTGCTTTATGGGTATATTGTGTGGCCAAACAGAGATGATAAATGGCTTCTATGGTGACCAAGTGCATGACCTTGGTTGGCATGGGGGTTCTAATCAGCTGACCTAACCCACCGAGATGTTCATTTTACCATCAGCCTTTAAAAAAGGCTCGATTAGAAAGGTAAATCTGAGTCATTCTAAAGCATGCCTAAGCAATATATGAATGGCTCCTTTTTATTGCCTACAACATTATTTCCTTTACTCACGCAAACAGAATTTGAGAGAGAGAGATTGGAGAAAAATGGTATCGGAAATTAGGGGAGAGAGATCAGGTATACACAGGCATACACACACAAACAACAGTCTAAACTGGGGGATGGGGCAGGAATTTCAGCTCATTTTAATATTTAATAGTATTTACATCCTATTCAAAATACCGAAAAGAATAAGTAAGCTTGACGTGGGAGACCCATGGGGGAAAGGTTGAGACTGAGAGGGAGAGGGTTGCCCTAGGAGAGGTCTACAGATAGCCTACTGGGGACGCCGGGGACGGAGGGAGGTCCATTAGGCCTCCATGGCCTGATTGTTCCTGGTCCGGTGCGAGGTAGTATGGGAGAGATCCTAGCCAGAGTGCGTGTGTTTCCTTTGGCTGCCGGCCCCACTGAAGCCACAGAACAAAGCTGCCTGGTTTGGCAGCCCCAGTTCCTTCCTCCCACTGATGCAAGAACAGTTGGTCCTCAATATGTTGCAGCCTAATTCATGGGGGAACCCCAGGCTGCCACTGTAACCTCTCACAGACTTCCCTCCTCCACTTCCTGCAAGGGGGCTGGATGCCCACCAGCCTCAGGTCTAAACCCTGTGGTGCCATCATCATATTCTCCAGTGATAGGTACTTGGGGCTACGCACTTGTTGGGCACCTGCCCTGTACCAGGCACTTGGTGCATATGGGTGAACAAGGGTCGTGCATCATCCCTGACCTCTCAGAGCTTATAGCCCAGCTTGTCATTGTCCCTTCCCAGAGCTGTTGGCCTTTGGTCTGTTCTTTGTTACAAGTGGGGGCCCATGAGACACGAGCTCTATGGCTTGGCCATTTCTCTAGCCCCTGGCCTCCCCCCTCCCCCCTCCCCACTGGAAGTGTGGTCTTGCATATAGTATCAGCACCCTGCCTCAAACATAAGGAGTGTGCATCGTGTCCTCAAGAGACTCTTCCACCTGCCACATCCACGAACGCAAATTGATCAGGCCCCACAGTGAGCCAGGTTCTGTGCTGTGTCCTGTAGTGCTGTGGGATAGAGAGGCACGAATAAGACAGTGTTGCCTTTCATTAACCTACCTAAGGATAATTCACCGATGAGGCAGAAAGTGCCGGATCCCAGAGTAAGTATTATAGGAGTCCACTGGAGGGGGAGATTCACTGTGGACAGAGGAGGCCTGGGCAGCTTCACGGAGGAGGTGGGATGTCAAAGGAGGGGCTGGTTCATAAATAAGCACTCAGAAGGTCAAGTTTTAGAGAGTGATTACATTCCTTCTGACCGGAAACACCGCCTCCTCCCTTTCCTCTTCCCCTACATCCCACCGCCTCCTTCCCTGCTTCCCTCCTCTTTCTTACACTTTCTCCTCATTTCTCACCCCACCCCTCTGACTTTCCTGTGAACCCAGGCTCAGCCGCCCTGTTGCTGGAGGGGTGCCAGTCCTGCGACATTACCACACTGTGGCTTCCTTGTACGGGCTGACCCTGCCAAGGCTTGGGGTCAGCCTGATGGCTCTGGCCTCCCACTTCCACTCCCAGCCTCACTCCGGCTGGCCTGGCAGACTGTCTTCTCAAAGATCACTTTGTTTAGCTTTACAAAGGAAACACTATGGGACAAAGTTTTCTGCGGAGGCTGAAGGCCTCTGAGTGCTGCCAGACCTCTGTGGGGTCGGCCTTTCCTTGTCTAGGAGCCACGGCCAAAAGTGGGGTGTAGTGGACACTGTGGGGTCCCACTCTGCTGACTGGCACACCCTCCCCCCAGCTGCTGTTAGGGCTGCTCTTAATAGCTCACAGCTGCCCCTTCTCTGGAGCATTATCTTCAGCTGACAGGAGCTGTCTTGCCCTCAGACCTTGGCCAGTGACTGATGGGTAAGGGGTTACACAAGGCCAGTCACTTTGTCTGAAAGCTGGGGCTAGCTCTGTGGTGCCATCCATGCTCCGGAGCCCACCGCGGGATCCGGCTGAAAGGATTCTCCAGCTGAAACCACATTCCTGCCAGCTTTCCGCTCTTGCCCTGTCCTGCTTCCCACCCTCCCTTCTCCTTCCCCAGTAAGTCACTTGAACAAGAATCCTCACCATGAGCTCTACTTCTATAGAACCCGAGCTCAAAATGCAATCTTTCTTCTTTCTCTACCTTTCTGCCGGCTCAGGTGCAACACACTGAAGATGTACTGGGCAGCTAGGGCAGATCAGGTTGTGTTTCCCATCCTTCCTGGGAAACAGACATTTCTTTCCAAGGCAGTGAAAGTGTGTCTGAGTCTTGAATTCTAGTGTGGCTACTAGACGATGGTCTGAGGCTCACTGGCAGAGAGACCCGTAGTGGCCAAGAGACATTAGTCAGACCCACTGGGGGTCACTGGAGAGCAGGAAGTGCCAGCTCATGGCTGTTTGAGCCTGTACCACCCTCCTCTCCAGCAGCGTGGGGCCCATCTGCTTGCACAGTGGCCTGGTTTGCAGGCCAATTCAGATTACTTCCCCTCTGCTCCCTGCCTTTCCTCTGATTAACAATCAGATTTTTGTTATTCATCCAGTTCTTCCTGATTCAGAGTCCTAGGGAATGAGTCACCTTTCTGCAGGATTTAAGAGCCAAGTTTTAAAGCCTTTTTAAGTGAATATTAGGGGAATATAGCATCGAGAGTTAATGCCAGCTCAATCCCAGCCTCTGTCTTCCATTCCTATACTCAGGTAGTAAAGTAAATAGGTCTTTACTACCAGGGCCGATGGCTCCTTGCAATAATATGACAATACAACACAGGGCACATGTTGGTGAATGTGTGTGTGTAACCTCCATGAAAGTCGGGACCCTGCCTGAATCTCCAGTGCCCAGCGTGTGGTATGAGCTCAATAAAATAAATAAATAAACATTAATTGCATGCTTATTCTATATCAGGTGATATGCTAATCATTATTGATGCAGAAACTAATATGATATGTATTCTCCCAACAAGGCGATCACAATCTAGAAAGAGAAACAGGCAAGCACATTTGAACATAAGGCTGAAATAGAGGGCTCTATAGGTACTGGGAGAACACAAGAGCGGACAGTTGAGTTGGCCTGGGGAGGTCAGAAAAAGTCACAGAGAGGAAGGAGCATCTAAGTTGAGCCTTAAAGGGTGAGGGGGAGTTTGGTAGTGATCACAGGAAGAAAAAGCACCTGGAAAGAGGGAGCGGCATGAATAGAAGCATGAGGATACAAGGTTAGTGTAGAAGCTGGTGAACAGTTCAGTGTGCTGGCTAATGTGTGGCAATGTGAGGAGGGTGATGAGAGGTGGAAAGAGGCTTGAGCTGCTGTCATGGGCTGGGACCCTCTCCAGCTGGTCTGCCTCCATGGGCTGTGTGTTTTCAGGACATGGCCAGTGCAGCTGTGGGGACTGCCTGTGTGACTCCGATTGGACCGGCTACTACTGCAACTGTACCACACGCACGGACACCTGCATGTCCAGTAATGGGCTGCTGTGCAGCGGCCGGGGCAAGTGTGAATGTGGCAGCTGCATCTGCATCCAGCCAGGCTCCTACGGGAACACCTGTGAGAAGTGTCCCACCTGCCCTGATGCCTGCACCTTTAAGAAGTGAGTGGGCAGAGAAATGAGTTGGAGAGAGTTGGGTGTCTGGGCAGGGGAGTGGTTGGAGAGGGCCCCCCAGACTAGAACCTTCAACTGTTCAGGTTCGCTCTCTTACTCACCAAAGCTTTAGGGAGAGGAGTCCACTCTAGCCATAAGGCCAGGTTTCTTCTTTTATCGAAAACTTTGGGGAAAGTTGGAGGTGGAGCCAAACTCATACCAGCTAGACTCCTTTGGAGAAACCCTTCTCCTAGGGTGGCCTGAGTTGGGAGGAAGAAACCCTTCTCCTGGAACCCTGAGTTGGGAGGAAGGCTAAACCAGATAATTTCCGGGGAACGTCCCAGTGCTGATGTTCTGATTCTGTGGGAGATGTGGGCTGGAGTTGTGAAACATACCATGCGAAACAGGGATGTTCACCAGTACAAACGCCACTTGTTTGGTGGTCAGAGGAAGCCCCTGTCAGCCCGGGTCGGTGGCACTGCCATTTCTCTTTCTACTTCAATCAGGGTTTGATTCACAGACATGCAACCCGAGCAGTGCACAGCCCCGCATGCTTCGAAGGGCCCCACCCTTCGTTTAATGCTCTGCTGTCCCTGTCCTGAAATTCCTAGTAATTGTTGAGCAAGGGACCTGGCATTTTCATCTTGCACTGGGCCCCCACACTATGTGGCCAGTTATGACTTTAGGGTTCCCAGATGTGCAATAGGGTTCACCTTCCTGTCACAGTCTTGGACGAGACATAACAAGTTCCACCCCTGAACTCCAGACGTGACTCTCTGGGCCCCCAGGATTGTCTCACAGATGTTTCTATGTGTGTGTTTTCTGAGGTGGAGCAGCTTTCCTGGGGTACGGGGGTCAAAGCCAAACTGAAACCTTCTCAGGGTTGCCCTTCCCTCACCTTAATCCCGGTGTACTCCTTCCTCAGGGAGTGTGTAGAGTGTAAGAAGTTCAACCGGGGAACCCTGCTCGAGGAAAATACCTGCAACAGTTACTGTCGTGATGAGATCGAGTCTGTGAAGGAGCTCAGTAAGTTTAGCGTGTCTTCGAGTTGCACGCCCAGGTTCCAGGTTTTCCCGGTTTAGTCATGGAAACTATTCACCTCTCACCTGTAAGGTGAAAGAGTAGTTCTGACCTCGAAGGCATGTCCTGCAGGCCTGATGCAGAGTAGGCACTTAATAAAAACCGCCTTCCCTGAGAGTCCCTTGCACCTCTACTAATTTGTTCAGCAGACCCTCCCATTTCTGTTCCCAGAGCCCACAGACTCAGCAAGACCCTGCAAATAACTTTTTTTTTTTAAAATTTTAGTTTCAGGTATACAGTACAGTAGACTGTATATAATTTATATAATTGATGCAGTGATCCCCCGATTACTCTAGTACCCATCTGACACTACACACAGCCGCTATGATCATATTGACTGTGCTCCCTGTGCTGTCCTCTATGTCTCCGTGACTGTTTTGTCACCACACAAATAACTTGGATAAATCAGGCAACCCTAACTTTACCTCCTCAAGAAGAGAATCACCCCATTTTATAGATGAAGAAACTGAGGCACAGAGTGGGAAAGCAGTTGCCCATGACAGTCTTAGCTTAGTGGGCTAGTAAGCATTTACTAAGTTTACTTAACTAAGAATGCCCAGCATTCAGCTTTGCTGGTTTGGAGGAAAACCTTCACCCTTAGGCATTTGTAGCCAAAACCGTTATCCTGAAGCCTTTTTGGCTCTCAGGAGCCCCTTGTGGAATAAGACAGAAATACAGTGAGAAGCAAAACTTGCCTGTAATTATTCTGTTTGTTCTTCATCTTGACTTAAAGGGATATGATCTTTGCTGCTGTCAGCACATCTAATGTAGTCATTTGAGCCAAGTAGGCACTGGGTGGTGACCGGGAGATGTCAGTCTCTCTGGAGATAGTAATCTCCTACGAAGGTAGGAAACACGTTTTGAGTGAGAGCTACAGTAAGACAAAGCTGGTCAGTCAGCTTCTGGGAAGGGGTCTTATGGAAAAGAGCCAGATCTCTGGACCTTTTGGCAAATATCGGAAATGGGTCTGGAGTAAGGGTAGTGATTTGAGGACTGAGTTGGAGGAGACAATCTTTCCTTCAGAGGAGACTGTGCTTCCTGTGATTAGTTTAGGGAGGAGAGGCTGCTGAGATGTGAGATTTTTATTATCTAGACCAGATGGGTATTAAAGTTAGTTGGTAAGTACTTCTAAACCCCTCCCCCCACCCCATGGTAATCAAGAAAATAAATGCTTATTTGCATGGAATTTTATATAACTTGTAAAAGTTTATCAAAGTATCTCTTCATGCACATTATCTTACTCTTTTCCCAACAACCTGGTAAAGTAGAAGTGTAGTACTATTATCTTCATTTTGAGGATGAGGAAATTGAATCTTGGGAAAGTTAAGTACTTACCCAAGCAAATTAGCAGTGAGTTAAGATTTGAACCAAATCTTAAAATTTTTACTCTTTCTGTGGTACTAGAATACCACTGGTTTACTAAAAACTTATTGAGTTAAAGTCTGTAGGCTGTGCTTTGAGGCTCATGTGCCTGTCCTGCTCCATCACTTATTTACTGTGTGACCCTGTCACATTTGCTTAATCTCATCATGTGTGAGTTTTATCTATCAGTTTCATCAGTGTAGGGCATAGTGCAGCTGGTAGAGCATAATCCATAGTTCCACTGTCAGAGTCACAGATTTTAGAATGAGAAGGGATGAAACCAACAAAACATAATGGGAGTCAGAAGAAAGGATGGTTCTCAAGGGGAACACTGGATCAGAAGCAGAAACAGAGGAATCATGAGGGCTGAATAAACAAACTATTGAGAATCATTGAGCAAGCGGAGAAAGGAAAGGGAAGGGAACACTCACTGTTTACTTTATGCCATTTAATTCTCAACCAACCCTATGAGGTGAAGGTATCATTATAGATGAAGAAAGAGGGACTCAATGAGGTCCAGTAACTCACCCAAGATCACACAGCTGGTAGGTGGTAGAAGCAGATTGTGTAATACTATTATGTCATGTCCCTTTCAGAGGAAGGAATAAGAACCAAAAACAGCCTGTGAGGAACAAAATATATCAGTCAGGGTCATATGGAGGCAGTTGCCAGGTACGACAGCCATCTCAAATTTAGGCATCTTGCCTAATGTCAAGCATAGGGTTTCCTGTTGCATATTTTCCCAGAAATCCCATGACTAAGGTTTGGGGGTGGTCCCATCTTCCAGTAATTGACCCATTCTTCATTCTCCCATTTTTCTCCCTCTCCCAGAGGACACTGGCAAGGATGCAGTGAATTGTACCTATAAGAATGAGGATGACTGTGTCATCAGGTTCCAGTACTATGAAGACTCCAGTGGAAAGTCTATCCTATATGTGGTAGAAGAGCCAGGTGAGTGAGCCCTAAGGGCCCTTGGCCCTTCCCCCAGAGAGAGGGAGAACCATGTTAGGCAGTAATTTCCATCCATCATGCCTCTTAAACCAAATAGCCAGGTTAAGCCTGACCTTACAAGTGATAAGTTAAGGCTTGTTATCTGGGTGTGAGGGTTATATAAATACAAATATTAGCGAGAAAGTAACTTGCTAATTAAGGAGATAGAAAAAATAAAAAGGTATGTAAGGAGAAGAAGAAGATCAATATGGATCCCACGAAGGAACAAAGTATATCATGGCATTTTTTTTGAGGTGATAGTGTTAAGAAGTAAGGAATTTAAATTCTAGGACTTTTCAGCACAAGGCTTCTGCTCTACTAAAGGTTAAATGGTTGCTAAGAGCAACCTGCTTGTTGCTTCAGAGGAAGGCCTGATGGTTTGAGATGGTGATCTTACCAGGTTCACCACAAGATGTGGTGAAAGGTTTGAGGTGCCATCCCAAGGCTGCCCTGAGCACTGAAAACAATGCTTGCTCTCAAGACCCTCTAGGTGCAGGAGAGGCTCTTGCCATCATACACAGACCAGCTACAGGTTTGTCACCATCCAACACAGTAGACTTGCTTGCTTTTCCTTACCGTCTTTATCTCCTTCCTTTCCGTTAAATGACAGATCAAGATATGAATCCTTAGAAAACATTTTTGAGTACTTATATATCAGGCACTGGGCTATGAATATAATAATAAATAAGGCAGATGTGGCACTCACAGACCATGGGGGAGACAGACATGTGTATTGATCATGACACTGCAGAGGGATAAGGGCCGTGATACTGTTGGGGGTGGACAAGAACTTATGGGAGTGAAGGAACAATCTGCGAAGGCAGAGGCTAAATTGGTTGGTTACTTGACATTCTTTACAGCTATAGGGATTTCTTCAAATCATTTTTTAGACCAGGGACCAGCAAAGTTTCTGTAAGGGGCCAGATGTTAAATATTTTTGGCTCTGCGGGCCATATGGTTTCTGCTGTGACCACTCAGCTCTGCCATATTAGCAGGAAAGCAGCCATAGACCATTAAAAGAAGGGGTCAGGCTCTGTTTACAAAATGCCTCTGTGTTCTTTATTAGTGATCCTGGTTCTTTATTAACGCCTCTGCTTTAGACATGTCGCTTCTCCCAATGAGCCTTCTCAGACATCCTCTAGCCTCCATTCCACTGGCTAGGTTTGGAGCGCCTGTTTGATTCTCATCACAGCTATGCTTTTCTTAGAAGGGCCTTGATCACACTATCAAATTGCTTCTTTAATCACTTGTCTCCCTCAGTAGACCGTAAGCTCCATGAACATAGGAACTGTCTGTTTTATCCACTGTTACATCCCCATACTTGGCTCAGTCATCTGCAGAGAAGTTACTGAATAAGTGGCTTGTGAATGAATTAATAGAACTGATTATTTCTAGGAGACAGGCAGGTTTATATACATCTTGATATCTGTTAGAGGTTTGGCTGCTTGGAGAAGGAAGAGAATGAAGATAGAAAAAAGACTCTTACATCTATGACACCAAGAAGAGCATGGTGCCCCCATCTGTGATGTTGTTCATCAGCCTTTCCTGGAGCTCTCACCCTTCATAAGGGAAATGGAAGGGAAAGAAAAGGCATCACCTTAGTTTTATTTAGTGACTCAAGGGAAACCTGACACTGGGAAGAGGGGAGGGAAGAGCCTGGGTATGTATCTGTGGAGAACAGATGTGGATTATTTGGCCACAACTTCCTCACACTTTGCCCTCTATCTGTGTTAACATGTTCCACAGATTTTCCACATCCACTGTTTCGGTAGCTTCGTCCCTTCTCATTTCTGAAGGGCGGTGTGTTCTTACTTTTGGGTTTCATGTTACTTCGTCTCTTTGCTACAATAATCCTTACTGGTGCTCCTGCTGTATCACTTACCAAAATCTTTTGGCCTGGTATTCTGAGACTGGAATCTACTACCTGGAGTTGATAAAGATGATGATAACCTGGGATGATACAAATAACCCCTGGGGGTGGGGTAATTTTACTGACCCTATTGAGAGCTGACTTCCTGTCTGTTGGTGGTTGACTGGGGTTGAACAGGAAGTCGGCCCCTTCTTCCACATTAGGAGATTGGATCCAGACCCACATTTCATATATTGTTGTGCTGGAATTCCAGGTTCTGCCTCTTTTTTCACCCCCTAACCATTTTCAGGGACTATGGCTTCGAGTAGAATGTAGCATCCGGGGTCTGGGAATATAGGAGGAGATTATTTTCATTCTCTTCCTCCACTCATACCTTTGCAGATGCTCTCTTTGAAGGGCCGAGCCACTGCAGGGCAGTAAGGAATTTGGCTTGGCTAATTGGGGTTAGCCCTGAGCTGGGCTCTCATCACTCTCAGATAGGGTTGCCTGTTAAAGTGCAGTATGTCCCATGCAATATTTGGTACATACTTATGCTGAAAAGTTATTCATTGTTTATCTGAAATTCCAATTTAACTGGACTTTCTATACTTTTGTTTGTCAAATCTGCTGGCTCTACCCAATTTTTCCTGACCTTGTCATGGGTCCTCATCACTGTGGCTGGGAGGGCTCTTCAGAGACCACCTGATCTCGTCTTCAGGAAGCCTGCCATCTACTCCTTTCAGGACAAATGGTTAACAGCTTCTTCTCCTCCCAACCCCACCCTGCCACCCCAAGTCCCCCTGGCATTCTATCTGTCTTGCCCACACTGATATGCAGAATTGAAGAGATTTCACTTCGAGATTTAAGGGTCAGCCCGACCTCAGTCTTCCAGAGAATTCATAATTGCTTTTCCCAGAAGAACTGGGGCCCTTCACTCCTGGGAACTCAGACACTGGAAGCTCACAGCCTTTCTCTAGGCGTTCCTTTAATTGTAGACAGGTTGTAATTTGGTGGCTTGGGAAAATGCCAGCTTGGGTTTGTGGTGGTGGTTGTTTTTGGGTAGTGTGTGGTGAGCATAGGGTGTATGTTTAGACAAGGAGTTGGGAGACTGTGGAAAGTGGGTGTGACCCCCCCTCTCCAGACCCATCAATACCCATATATACAAACACCTAATTACATAATACCTGAGAAGTTACGGGAGTGAGGTCATCCATCAGACACCTGTGGGTTATAGGAAGCAGAGCTCTGCTGAGCATACTTATCTTAGCCCTCGGAGGGGCGATGCACCTCTGTCTGTTGGTGGTTGACTGGGGTTGAACAGGAAGTTGGCTCTCAATAGGGTTAGGATTTTAGATGACTAAATATTTTGGGAAGGAACCCAAAATATTGTCTTGGTTGGCAGGCCGCCTGGTCTCTAAGTATGCTAAAAAGGTCATTAGGTTCTCAGTCCTCAGGGATGAAAATATCTGAATAAGGGTAACTAATTCAAGCACCTATAGGAGCCAGGTAAATAAATTGGTAAAGATAGCCAGGTACAACGAGCACACCAGTAGCAACGGTAGCTGATATTTATTGAGCACTGACTCTATGCCAGGCACGGAGTTCTTTAACTTCCTTATTTCTCATAACAAGTTTTTGAAGTCAGTGATATTACTACCTCCATTTTAAAGACGGAGAAACAGACACCCAGAAAGGTTAAATAATTGATTGAATGTCACATAGCAAAGTAAGTGGTAAGCCAGGATTCAAATCCAGACAGTCTGGCTCCAGAGCCCATAGTAGCACAGACTCAATGACAAGTCACACTTTGCCTCTGTTTAGTGGAGAAAAGAGAGTGGTGAGGACTTTGGTCAGCTAGAAAACATGTCCCATCTAAAAGCGGCAGGGGCTCCTTGGTTCCAACCTGTTGTTGTCTTGTAAGAGTATAGGTTCAGTGTTCGTAGATCTTTTGATTTTTTTTTTTTTAAAGAAGAAGAACCTAAAATTTTAGGGGGAAGAACCTCCTGATTATTGAAACATGCCATCAAAATCAAATTTTTGATAAACACTGTGTGAACCACACAGTAGGCCAGATTCTGCCAGCGACTGGCCAGCTCACCAAATCTGATTTAAACCACTCAGGACAGATTATTGCTATCCTAAAAATAGCACCCCCCCATTTTAATAAATAGTTAATGTATTTTATAAGTCCTTTTTCCTTCAGAGAATTTTCTAGTACTTTGTTACTTTGTCAAGAAGATCTTATTTATAGCTACTTCGAGTGATTCCTGCTCCTTTCACAGCCACCCTGCTCTGTGTTCTCTCCTAACAGAGTGTCCCAAGGGCCCCGACATCCTAGTGGTCCTGCTTTCAGTGATGGGGGCCATTCTGCTCATCGGCCTTGCTACTCTGCTCATCTGGAAGCTCCTCATTACCATTCATGATCGGAAGGAATTTGCAAAATTTGAGGAAGAGCGAGCCAGAGCAAAATGGGACACGGTAAGAGATTGGGCTGGTTTGGGCTGGGCATTTTCTTAAGTCATTGATTTGGGAGCCTGAATGGACAGAGCAGATACTTAGGGCAGCCAGGTTCGGCCAGCACTGTAGTTTTCCGATTAGCCTCTCTTATGGAAATTGGGAGATAGTCTAACTATCCCTCTGTCCTTCTGCTTCCCGGAAACCACGAGATTCTCTCTCTACCACCCAGTGACCACAGCCACGTCAATGAGTACTGACCGAGCACGGATAGGGCCCAATTCTGCTCTGAACACTGTGAAGAGATGGAAAGGAAATATTCTCCAATTGAGGGTGACAAGACAAGCTTGAGAATCTTACATTGAGAAGATATAATACATTACATACTAATGGAGTTTAAAGTATTAAACACCAGCAGAAAAAGTACAATGATAGCTAATATTTACTTAAGATTCATCATGTACCAGGAACTGTTCTAAATGCTCTTTATGAATTAACTTATTTCATCCCTGTAACAACCCTATGTGGTAGGCAACGTTATACCCATTTTGTAGGTAGGGAAACTGAGCACAGAGAAGTGGAAGGGAATTAGGTTATTCCTTTTTGCGTCAGCCTTGAAATAGTGGCAGGATGTCATTCCATCTCATTCTCTCCTTTTTCCTCTTGTGATGATGATAGCTCTCAAATCAGACTCCACTTTTGTGCTCCCTGCAGTTTATCCTGATTGAATCCAAGCAAGCATTTTTGAAAACCTTCTATATACTTAATTTTCCTCTATTCTCTTTTGGCTCATCTACATTTCAGCTTTTTTCCTGGACCTTCCACATGGCCATTTGACTCCCTGATTGTCCAAGGTTAGGCTACAAGTTTGTTCCCATTGAGTGGTGACCTCAGGCCTTTGTATAAGGTTTCCCAAAAAACTGAGATGTTTCTGTTCAGACAGTGTAGAAACGTTGAACCTCTGAGGCACATGAGAACATGTTGTGTTTCTTGAAGCTGCCAGTAAGGACTACCAGACCTTATAGGATTTGTCACTTTACATTAGAAAATAATTTGGGAAACCTAATGAGGGCCTTACTTTTTTCCTTCTGACATGACAGTTTGTGGGTAGTGCTTGAAGATGAGATGAGAAAATATTCAGAATTATTTGAGCAAAAGCTGTCTTCTATGTTCCAACCATCATCTTCTACGTTTCTCTCCCCTGCCCATACCCTTCAGCATGATCACAATAAAGGAAAAAGGGGAGAAGGGTAAAAGAGAGAGGTGGAAGAGAGGGAGGAAATAGAAGATGATGGCGAAAGGCTATACTGAAATATTAGGGGATCACCAAAAAGTAATGGGCCGAATTTAACTCCTTAGAAATAGTGGCAGAATGGTATTCACTTTCTCTTTCCTCTTATTTCCTAACCATTCCCATCATAAGAGTGAATGTGTGAGAACATGAGCATTAAGCTATTCATTGAAGCTATATCCCAGAGAGGATGTCTTGGGCAAACATCTCAGATGAAACATAAGCCGTGAAAGTAGAGAATGACTGAGAATTCACTATAAGACACTTTTCTGTTCTCTTTGCAGGCCAACAACCCACTGTATAAAGAAGCCACATCCACCTTCACCAACATCACCTACCGGGGCACTTAATGGCAAAGTAGTCGTCCTCCGATCACTATCAGACTGTCCCAGGATTGTGGGCATCTCTGCTGTCGTGTTTACAGGAGACAATATCTGTGGGGTGGGATTGGGGGCTTGGAGTGGGGTGGGTTGGGAGAATGTCAGTGAGTGGAAGTGTGGGTCTCTGTGCATGTGTGCGTGTGAGTGTGCTGCGTGAGGGGGAATGTATAATTTAAAGCTTGTCACGTGTCCTGGATAAGCAGAGCTCCTCAGCCTTTGTCCTCAGAACACCTCACATTCTTCCTGCTTCACCTCCTGAAGATGACCTAGGTAGCTGAGTGGGTGTTCTTCATTACCTCAGTGAGAAGCCAGCTTTCCTTCACGGGCCATTCTCCCTGAAGAGAAGGGCAGCGCTGAGGCCTCTTGTTCCAGAAAAAGAGACCCAGACTCTATCCTGAGTTTATGGTTCTTGAGCCTGACTCTCAGCAGCTATGGTAGAAACTGCTGGGTTTTGCAGCCTTGTTGTGTCATCTGTACCTCTATCTCCTTCCCTTTCCCTCAGGCTGAAGGAGAAATCAGGGGAGAGTTGAACCATCAGAGTCTGTGCCTTTTCCATCACCTTAGTCCAGCATGGTTCTCTCATAGGGGGAGTCCTTGCTACTTAATTCTTTGATCTGTTGCAAGAGATGATGGCAGGGCCACTCGGGGGCCACGCATGGCTTGGGAGAATGTGCTAGGGCCCCCCCGTTCATAATCATCACCCTTCAGATTTGCCCCATTGGCAGCTCCACCCTAGAGATTTGTTTAGATATGTTTCACCCTTAGACCAGCACCACTTCTTACCTCCTACTCCCACGCTCTCACTGCTGTTGACATTTACTACATGACTGAAAGCTTGGCCTCTGAGGGAGGGTGCTATGGTTAGAGCCAGGGGTCTGGCCCGCCCTTCAGGCCTTCTGCCCCTTGTCCAAGACACCACCGCACATCCAATCTTGTGCTTCTATGTGCTGTGTCCATCTATGGGGCCAACTGCATTTATCTACCTCTGGGATGTCTTGTGAAGGAGTCATTCCCACGGTCTCCGAGTCTGCTGGGCATAAGTGCCAGGGTAGAATGATGGGCCAGTTGTATCAGCCTGTGTGGCCTTTTCTCTTGTGGGCTGGGCAACCTCATTTTAACTCAGTCATTAATCTGAGAGGCCACAAGTACAGTTTTATTTTATTTTTCTCATTGGGGCACCTGAAACCATGATGAGGCTTACTTAAACCAAAGGATATGTATAGAAACACACTTGTATTATATTTGTAATTTTATCTGATGACAAAGAAGGAGAGGAGGAAAAATCCACACAGACTTAGGCTGGATACAGACAGCCCTACTTAGCATCATTCATAGCTCATGATTGCCCGGTCATGGGCTCTGTCATCCTGGATGTCTGTGGCGATGGGTGCATGGACATGCTGGACTTTTCCCTGAGGGGGAGGGAAAGTGGCTATTCTTTTTTTCTAACAATAGCAGTGACTCTATTGGTGTTTCCATTCATTCAACATTAACAAACACCCCCAACCTACAAGAAAAAAGGAAGGGCCTATAAACAGTGGTCTGATGATCAGAAAATCTAAGTCCTGGCCTCATTGTTATAGCTAAGGAATCTTTAACCTTAATTAAAGCAAGTCACTTTCTTTTCCCTGAGGCTCAGTTTTTCTAGTTTGAAAAATGATGGGTTTGGACCAGCCAATCTAGAAGGTCTCTTTCAGTGTCAGCATTCTAAGATGCTGGGACTTGCTGTGATATTGAACATGCAATGAAGATTTTGTGGGATGTTGATATTGTTTGTGTTTTTAGATGGCAGATCTGAAAGACCTGGCTTTGGCAAGAGCAGATGTCATTCCATATCACCTTTCTCAATGAAAAAAAACCTCATTCTATCCTGTCTTAGAGCCCCTTCTCCAACTTTTGTTAGCAGTTACATCTCCTGATGTAGCACTTAAGCTCCAATAAGTTCTTATATCTTAGTTCACTTTGCACTCATTTGCACACACATATTAGAGAGGAGAAATCCAAAAGAAGTAGCTGAAATGTGTATCCTGTATCCAGGTGCTAACCTTGAGAGTAAGCCTTGGAATTAGGAATGGGGCAAATGACCGAGCCCTGTCTCACCATGGATTACCCTTTACTGTAGGGGATGGTAATGTAGTGTGAGGATAAAAAGGGAATGGGGAGGGATGATAAGGAATCCAAGAAGTTTAGAACCTAACTATAACCTTTGGCTACTGAGACAAGAGTCCATTAGCATAGTAGTTGGACTTTAGATAGGATGGCTTATATGAAGAGACTATATCAAAGGAGGAAGAATGGGTATGTAAAAGATGAAGACATCAGTAGGAATCCTGTCTGAGCTTCTGGAACGGGGCTCATAGGCATTGAAGCCAGTGCTGTCTGTATGTGGGGAGAACCTATAGCTGAGTTCAGGACAGAACAAACAGCAGTCAGTTTTGGCATCATGTGGGGTGAACATCTAAATAGTATTTTGGCATCAGAAAATATAGCCCAAAGAGATTATTTGTGCCCTGGTCTGCGGCACAAATCTCAGGGTCTGCGGACAATAATGGGAAGCTTTGAACATTCCTGAGAAGTTGTCATACAAGGAGTCATGTTCTTTACTTTTCAGATATTCCTAGACCATCCAAGATTTCAAGAGACTTCTCTTTGTTAAGTATTCCTGGTTGAAATGACCTAAGTGCCTTTCTGACTTCCTAACCACCTCCTCTGTTTGAGTTGTGTAACAGTGAATTAAATGTGTTTTCCAAAAAGAATTGGCCTAAGGCTGCCTAGTGCTTCCTGTGTTATTTCTGTTTCTTTTGGGTGAAAAGAATAAGTGTTATTGCCTCACAAATGATTATTTTAGGACAAGCAGGTTTCCAAATCTAACAGAATGATGACTACTATGGGAATTCAAGTTAGCTTCAGAACTTACAGCTTTTCTTTAGACTTTAATAACCTTTTCAAAATGAGTAAGTTATTACTGTTCTAAGAGTTATTCTTTTTTTTTTTTTTTTAATTGGGGATTTTTAGGGACTTGTATAGCCTCAACAGAACAGACCATCAATTTATCCTAGGTTTCGTTTACAGGAAGAATAAACTGATAAGATAAAGGCTTAATGGCAAATTATTTACATGACCATTTAAATGCCCGACTTTTATTTAAATCAGAGGGTCTCAAAGTGCAGTCCCAGGACCAGCAGCATCAGTATCACCTGAGAACTTGTTTGGAATGAAAATTCACAGAACAAGTGAATCAGAGCATCTGGGAGTGGGCCCAGCATTTTTGTGTTTTGATAAGTCCTCTGGGTAATTCTGTTGCATGCTCAAGTTTGAGAATCACTGATCACTGATATAAGGATTTATATACGTCTGGCCTAGAAAGAAGATTACAGCAATCCTCAGTTACTAAAGGATTAAGAACATACCTTGGCTGATAGATTAAGAAAACCAAATTTCTACCCACAAAGTGAAAATCTACTTTTGATCTTGCCTTCCAACTTAAGTGATCACAGGCTCTTGATTCACTCACAGCTACAAATTCCCATGAAAAACTAAATAAGTAATAGATCAGAACCTCGCGGTGGGGACCGGGGGAAACAGCTAACAGGATATTTGGCAGACATCTACGGAAACCTTTTATCTATACCAAACTGAAGCAAGATAATACTCTTATAGCATTTATTCACGGGAGATGGGATCAAAATCTTTATTATTAGCATTATCATCCAAAAGATACCAGAATAAGACTTTATAATTTGTAACTTTGCTTTTTGTGATTTGAAATTTTTTGAGCACCAACAGCGTGGGGTTGAAGTACTTCATAGAAGTCTCATAATCGTTGCCTTTGAGTCCTTAATAATATAGATTTTTTGAACAGAATACAGTGTATGACATCATAAAAAGATTATGTGAACATAGATTGAATCCTTTTATGGTGAAACTTTGTAAGATTCACTGTTTTATTTACATCATGGTAACTAATGAATAAATGTTTGGATGAAAATGGAGAACCTTATGTGAAAATGAAATGAAAAGTCTATATGTCAAATCATATTTGTAATCCTTTAACTCTTGGCCTCTGTAGTCTGAACTCTAGAATAACAGCCATCTAATAACCATTGGGACCAATTACAAGCAGATCGTCTTGGAACTACAGTGCATTCATTTTTCATTCTGATGTAAGGAAGAATACATATGCCTTGCAAGTAAACTAACAGTTGTCAAAAAAGTTTCTATTTGTTTTTTTTAAATAATATATTTCTGAAAATATACCTTCCTAATTTAAGTTTTACTGAAGCACACTAGGAGACCGTTTTAAATGCTTATGATCAAATTTAACCATATTGTTAAATAAAAATCCACTTAGTGAGGCTACCCATGAATGGTTTCTATGTGAAAGGAAAATTATAGTTTAGGAACAGGATTGCGTTTTTTGCATCTGCTGTCATAGTAATGTCTCTCCAACCTCTTGCACAGAGGAAACATTTTTATCATCTGTGTCTTTTCTGACAATATACCAAAGAATGCACACAGAATGTAAGTATCTAGAAAGCAGCATTTAGAATATATAAGTCCCTTTAGGCAAAACTTCCATTGTAAATTACTCTTGGTTAGTGTCCCTGAAAAGAACTCTGTAAGGAAAAAGTTTCACAATTCATTGTGTTTTACTTAGTCGGCTATTTAAATGGCCATGTAAATAAGTTCCCATGACTCATGCACAATTGGTATGATTCTTTGGAGAGGTCACAGTGATGGGTGTGTAAACATCATTTGGTGGTCAACAAAAATGCTTTGTTAATAAGAAAAACATTGATGAATGTATGCTGGACTTTGCTTTTCCTGACTCTTATAATCATCCATTGTGACAGAGGTTGCTAATTGTGCCCCCTCCATCTGTTTTCCGCTTCTCGCATAGTATTAGAACTAATTTTTAGTTGGGCACATGGCTGCACAGAATAAATACAATGTTGCCAAGCCCCTCTTGCAGCTAGGTGTGCCATGCCCATCTCATAGACATGAGCCATAAATGAAAGAGGTGCATACAATTTCCAGTAAGTGCCACTTAGGGAAGGAGCATGTCTTTGTTTTCTCCTTCCTTCTTTCTGCAGGCTGGTATGTAAAGATAATAGCTAGAATTTAAGCAGACATCATGAATCAAAATGTGACTCAGGGGATTTTATTAGTTATTTATTGCTGCATAACAAATTACCCCACAATTTAGCAGCTTAAAACAACATATTATCTTACAATTTCTGTGGTCAGAATGGCTTAGCTGGGTGGTTCTGGCTCAGAGTCTCTCATGATGTTGTATTCAAGCTGTTGTCCAGGGCTGCAGTCAACTGAAAGTTCAGAGATGCTAGATGTTCCCCTTCCAAGATGGTTTACGCCCATGGCAGTTGGCGGGAGGCATCAGTTCCATTCTGGCTATTGGCAATAAGCTTAGTTCCTTACCACTTGGACATTACCATAGGACTGCTTGAGGGTCCACATGGCATTTCAGCTGATTTCTTCCCAAGTAAGTAATCCAAGAAAGAGTAAGGAAAAGCAGCAATGCCTTTTATGACTTAGTTTTGTGTCACATCATTACTTCTGCCACACTCTCATTATAAGTAGCTCACTAAATCCAGCCCACATTCAAGGGGAGGGGACTAGATGCCACTTCTTGAAGGGAGGAGCATTGTGGTAGACAGTCATTGCCTGTGCCTCTGCATGGACAAGATATCCATGTCCCCAGAACCTGTGACTATGTTCCCTTACATGGAATAAAGAACTTTGCTGATGTAATTAGGAACTTGAGAGAGTAATTATCATGAATTACCTGGGTGGCCTTACTGTAATCATAAGTGTCATTGTAAGAGGAAGGTAAGAGGGTCAGAGTGAGAATAGCAAATATACTGATGGAAGCAGGTCAGAGTGATGTGGCCATGAGTAGAGAAATGCACACAGCCTCTGGAAGCTGAGAAAGTAAGGAATGGATTATTCCCTAGAGCCTCCAGAAGGAACGCAGCCTTTGATTTTAGCCTTGTAAGTTCCAATTTGGACTTCTAATCTCTAGAAATGTAAGATAATAAATTGTTGTTTGAGCCCCAAGTTTGTGATAATGTTACAGTAGCAATAGCAAATTAATACAAGTATCAAAGTATTTGTAGACATATTTTAAAACCACCACAGTCTACCCTCTGGCCAAAATTATTTATAGTTCTTTCACATGCAAAATACACTCGCCCCTTCCAAGGTCCCAAAGTCTTATTCCATTATAGCATGAGCTCAAAGTTTGGAGTCTTGCCTTTAAATAGGTCCAGGGCAGATGAGACTTCTTGGATATAATTCCTTATGTATAGCTACTCTAGTACACTATCTCTCAATCTGAAGTCCTGTGAATTAAAGGGAAAAAGCCGCATGCTCCCTTCCTGCAATAATCAACGTAAAATAGTGTGGGACAGGCAGGATAATGGCTACATTCTTGTTCCAACAGGCAGAATATAGGAGGTACACAAGTCCTTGGTCCACAGCAATTCTGAAATTTACTTGGGTACAGGTTTGCAATTCCACATTCAAATCCTGGTAATATTGTCCGTGGCTTTTGGTTCTACCCTTTAGGCTCGTGGTTTCACACTCTAAGTCATCCTTTTTTTCCACAAACAATAGCATATGTTTGCACTTAGTTTTTCAGTCTGCTTCCTGCTTATAGAATTTGAGGGTTCAAAGGCCTTTTTCCTTTTCGTACTCTCTTTCAGCCCAAGCTGGCAGTGTTTCCGACAATATAATGCTCTTTACAATATTGTGGATCTCCTGTGAATCCTATTGGGTTTCAGTCCATGAGATAAAAAGCCATATCCATAAATACCTTTGAGATAAATCTTTCTGTACCTCGGGCTTCTGCTGAAGGACAAAGGCCTTAAGAGTTTTAGAAGACTTATTATTTAAATAAAAGGATCCAAGAAGCAAAACCTTAAAAATTTTAGTGTCTTTTGTCTGATTAAAAGGCATTCTAAGGTACCTCCCTTAAACCACTGTTGAAATGAAAGCCAGTAGAGCAATAAAATAGAAGCCTGTGTCCTGCAATTATGGCACATCATAACAGCTGTGGAGTATATCTTCGAACCTCGTGAAGGTAAGAGAAATAAAATTCAATCTTGCTTAGGTTACTATTATTTAGGGATTTTCTGTTTCTGGTAAAAGAATCTAATCCTAACTAATATACTGTTGGTGCTATTGGAAGTCTGTCAAACTGCCTAATTCATCAATAGATTCAGTACTAAAAAGATACAGCATTCAAGATTTGTTAAATATCCACAATCTGGATTGAACCCATTACAATCTTTACGCATTAGAAATTGATGCTTTATGAATACCTGGGTTGAATCCAATAATAGAGGTGATTGTGAACAGGGTGGGGTTGGGGAGGTAGGGGATGCAGGGCTGGATGTTTACAGCAATAAAAGACATGGTCTCAGCTCTCAGATTACTTACAGGCTTTATTAGGGAGATACCCATACACATTACAAAAGTACTAAAGAATTCCAACATAGCAGGGTTAAAGATAAAAAGTAGTATCCCTGAAGAAATGAACCATTGTCACATTTACTGAGCACTACACAGGCAATTTTTAATTATCACAATCCTGGAAGAATGTGAAAAGTGAGGCTTAGAGACCATAAGTAATTTGCCTCACTGCATACAAGTAAATAGTTACGATTTGAGTTTGGACTGATCTGTCTCTAACGCCCATACTGTTCACCACAGTGAAAATAAAGGAGAGCTCAGGTTG